CCATCTCCAGTGAAGCCAAGAAAACCATTTAGGCACCCTAGGCATTTGTGAAAATTTGTCTATGATATGATGGATATTGTCCAACTGTACTTGAACAGTCTGAGAGAAATCAGACAAATTAAAGCAACCCATTTCTGGGATCTGTTCACATCCCATATGTTCTTTTAGCCGTAGATAGTCTATAGTCGTAAGATTTTGGAGCGCTACAACTTGCACCCCTCCCAACTCCTGGTTGAGTTACTTCAACTTTTTAAAAGTCAAATACAAATGTTGGATTTTTATAAAATGCCTTTTTAGTATTTATCAAAGTAGTAAAAATATGATAACTTAAGAAAAAGTCACTTTCTGTTGGATGAGATTTCTTAATACTGTATCTTTCTTATAATTGCCCTGCCATTCCTACTTTGTCATAGCATATTATTATTTTTTGTAAACTATACTGAATTCTTGCTTGCATTTTAGTTAAGATTCATACATTTACATTGGTAAGTAGTATCAATCTGTGGTTTTCTTTCTTTCATGCAGTTACTATCTTGGTCTGCTTTTGATATCAGGGTAATACCATTCCCTTAAGATAAAGAGGAAAATGCATCCTCTTCTGTGTTCTGGAATGGAATATAGGATGTGAAAGGATTTTAAAGGATTTACCAAAAAATTTATCCCAACCCAGAGACTTTGCTCAAGTAATAATTTTAAAACTTCTAATTTTTCTCTTGATTAGTCTATTCAAGGTTTTCTACCTTTTCTGAGAAAATTTTGTGAATTTGCAATTTTCTATAAACTTGTCAATTTTAATGATATTTTTAAGTTTATTACTATAATTATACACACCATTCTTGTTACTCAAATTTTTTATGTGTATACTTTGTTATAACCATTTTGTTATTCCTATGTTTGTGTATTTGTGGGTCTTTATTCTATTTGTTTGCTCTCTTTAATTTGCATTTGCATTCTGTTTTCAAACCTGTTCTTCCTCTGGGGCCCCTTTCTCCCTCTCCAGGCTCTTAGGAAGGGTTCTCTTGCTAAATCCATGTGTGTTCTCCCCCTTGCCCAGGCACCCAGTGCTTTAGTGCAGAATTTATCTGCTCCGAATCTCTCATTGCAGAGCTTAACAGGCACCAGACACATATCCACAATGAGAAGTTTTCTTTCTCCGTTCCTACAGAAACGTATCTGGTTCAGTCCCATCTCTAAAGCTGCTGTCTGGTAACTGGTTAACTCACCCAGTAAAGGCAGTGAGAGGGAATGAAAGAGAGAGACCACTGGAAGCCCTGAGATAACTCCTGAATTGGATCTGTCACCAACTAGCTCTCTGGTCTTATCTTCAGGTTTTAGTTTCCCCAGCTGCAAATAAGGTAGTTGGAGTTCAAGATTTCCAGAGTCCTATTTACCATGAGCATTCTAAGATTATCTATTATCCAGTTATCCAAAAAAATATTTCTACTTGAGACTAGATTACCATATCCTTTAGTGTCAAATCAAATCTATTTTGTTTCAGTAGTCTAATAAAGTTACTAATAGAAGCTTGAACAATTATGGAAAATCAACATAGTAGCAGGAAATGGAAGTCTCTAAATTGCCAAGCAAAGAAGTATATTAACATGTAATGACACTAAAGGTGACAGCGCAATTCTGGCCTTACATAGTTATTTGATATCATAGTTATAATTTGTCTCAAAGGAGACCTTGAATTTATTTCTGTTTTCAAGCTGTTGTCCTAGACAACAGCATTATCTTAAGGTAACATTTTTTTTTGAGAGGGCATCTCTCATATTTATTGATCAAATGATTGTTAACAACAATAAAATTCTGTATAGGGGGGTCAATGCTCAATGTACAATCATTAATCCATCTCAAGCCTAATTCTCGTCAGTCTCCAATCTTCTGAAGCATAACGAACAAGTTCTTACATGGTGAACGAATTCTTACATAGTGAATAAATTCTTACATGGTGAACAGTACAAGGGCATTCATCACAGAAACTTTCGGTTTTGATCATGCAATATGACCTATAAACAATCAGGTCAAATATGAATATTCGTTTGATTTTTGTACTTGATTTATATGTTGATCCCACATTTCTCCTATTATTATTATTATTTTTATTTTTAATAAAATGCTGAAGTGGTAGGTAGATGCAAGATAAAGGTAGAAAACATAGTTTAGTGCTGTAAGAAGGCAAATGTAGATGATCAGATGATCAGGTGTGTGCCTATGGACTAAGTATTAATCCAGGCTAGACAAGGGCAGCAAGACATCCACGGATGCAGAAGATTTCTCTCAAAGCAGGGGGGGTGAGGTTCTGAGCCTCACCTCTGTTGATCCCCAAATTCTCACCTGATGGCCCCCCTGCGACTGTGCCTGTCTTAGGTTGTTCCTCCCTTGAGGAATCTTACCCGTCTCTGGCTAACCAGTCATCTTCCGGGGCCATGCAGGGAGATGTAAAGTTGGTAAGTGAGAGAGAAGCAATATTATTTGAAAAGGTTAGCTTTTTACTTCTTTGCAGATTTATGCCCTGTGGCTTCTAGGCCCAGCATTTGTCTTGAGGTATCTTTACCACTTGGAAGAATTACGATATTCGTTAAGGTAACATTTTGAGGGCTAAGTCTAGTGGAACACATCCTTCTTCTAGGAACAGTACCCACTTCTAAGAAATGCCCCCCCACTCTAGCTTAATATATGTAGTTCCTGATGTGAACCCATATCCACAGCAACAGTTCATTGACTGGTCCAGAAAGAAGCACAGACCAAAGCAAAACCAATGCGTTCCTTCCCTGGATATTTGGACTTGCGACCAGGAGGTTGAGGGGAATTTCCCTTGGAGTGTCAAATTCACTGAACACGTCCGTAAGCAATGATGCCCACAAGGCCCTAGAGGCCATGAGTTCTGCCGCATGGAGAATGGTATTTGGCAGGACAGAAGAAGGAACCTATATGCAGAGAGAAGTGGGGCATAGAAGCAGCTGGAAAGATCTATAAAGAAATAGATCTGAGAGAGATTTGTAAACTATAAGGCTGTGAAAGAGATGCCGCTCTTAGACCAGTGCAGATGACTGGCATGCTACAATAGAAACCAGAGCAAAAAGAGCCTATTTTAAAGGTGGCTAATGAGACTTAACCATGAACAATTGCCAATGAAACCCAGGAGCTCTTTGTATTGGGCATCAGTGTTCAGTCAGAAAGTGACCATTCAAACATGGATCCATATAGAACACAGAACAGTGTGGTGGTGACAAGGAACAGGGCAAAGTCAGGATGAGGAAAGAGGGAGTGAACATTGGACCAGAGCACCATGAGCTAATGGTTTACAGTAACTTCTGAGTGCAGAGGGACATGGCAAATATTTGGAAATAACTGAATTGATTTGGTATCATGTTTATGTTAACTATATAATAAACTCAATCTAAGTTTTATTTCATAGGATAGTGATTCATAATCACTGTTATGATCTTTATAAAGACATGAACAAATGAACCTACAAGGTATAATTATAGGGATCTGAGCCTGGAATATCCCAAATGACAATTCCAACAACATTCAGATTTTCAAAGTATGAAGAGCAGATAAACAGCGCTCCTATAAGAGGAGGTCTCAGACCTCTCGGGATGTGCTCTGCATCATCAGGTCTCTGCCCTTTAGTCCTGCTGACTCAGTCCCAGGTCTCACAACTTACATGTTTATAGCTCCTTGCCCTGCCTCCTGCCCCTGGAATAACTTTCCTTCTTTCTCACACCATCCCTCATGGTAAAATTGTGTCTATTTTTAGATCCTACTCAGAATACCATTCATGTAACGCTTCCCCCTGTCTGAGTAGTTCTGGATCTTGTAATGAGGCATGTCTAGGTAACTCTGTTATAGCAGTTGTCACATTGTTTTCAGTTGGATGTCTGCATGTCTCTTTCCCAGCTATGCTGTGTTCATCTCTGTACTGCCTGAATCTAGCACACTGCCTACACTAAATGGTTACTGAATAAAAGCACTAATGAATGAATCCCCAGCATTACAATAATGGTTACAGTTTTTCAATATGTGACAAAATAGACTTTGTTGTAATTTTATATAGACATGGCAGTAGAATTTGCTCTTGTATGTTCATTCTTGTTAGTCTGCTATTCAGGTTGTATGGTCATCTGCTTATAACTTAAAAAGAACAACAGTATATGGTGGATGAATATTCCTCTCTGCACAAAGATACCTATAACACACCCTCACTCTAGGACATCTGAGAAGGGAGGAAAGAGGAAGGAGTTTAATATTTCATCTACCTCAGTTTTATAGATATGTTTCTAAGAATAAGTTATGAAGCAATGAAAGGCAAAATTTGAGGCAAAAATATGGAGGTTTTGCTAAATTTTACAGATTGCTGATCATACCCAGCTTCAGTTTCTTGGCCAACGCGTCAATTTGAATCGTGGGGTCTGATCCCATGGACAGGAAACAAATGAGAGGTGTTCGTGTATCACTTTCTTCCCAAGTTTTCTCCAGGTCTAAGATAACTGGTTCTGTGTACTTGTCCCCCAAAGAATGTGCAACATACTTTCTTGCTTGAAAAACAGTACGATCTGGGCACCAAGACCTAGGGGTGAATACGAGGCACAGGAGAAAATTCAGTGTGCTCATTTTTATTCTAATCTAAGCATGCAAAGAACATATATAATTGGCAAAGGACAAAAAAGCTAATTCTCCTTCACGCAGATCTGTGTAAGAGGGATGGCAAAGCTTTCTATCCCTGGGTGAGCACAAATTTAATCATGTAGCTTTGTTGTTAGGCATCGGCAAGAAGTAGAGCAGAGCCTGTAACAACAGTCTGTGGCCAGGCTAGAAGGGAACTTAGAAGTCAGCTGACCCAGTGTCTCATTTTCAGAGGCTGCAGCAACTACGTTGAAGCTATAATTTTTTTTTTAAGCACGTAAGTGATTATCCCTGGTAACTGAGGCTATTAGCTTCAGGTAAGCAATTCCTCATTCAAACTAATACTCAGAAGCACATTCACTCTTGGACAAACATTTATCAAGTGTCTGCTACATGTCAGGCTCCACTGTAGGTGCCAGGGACTCGGCAGGGACGCAGGGGAGGTGTTCTCTGCCAGCTCCAGGATGCAGTGGGCTCCAGACTGTGGTGCACTCTGAAACTCTGCCGGATTTGGGGGAGAATTAACTTGTCAAACATGTCAAAAGTTGGTTGATGAACAAGCATTTATTTAATACCATCTGTGCTGCCTACACTGTAGTAGGTTCTAAACACAGGAACACATGAAATAAATGTCACTTGATATTTTATATTTTAGATCACAAACAAGCTGTACAGATTATTTGCTGGATTACACTACTCATTTGACATAGATTCCATTTCAAAATGATAGATGAAAGGAGAACACATCTATTCCCCCCCAAAAAGACAAGTAGCCCTTTCATATTCTGAACATGAGCTTGCCGTTGCTGAGCACTCTCATCATTGTCAAAGAGTGACAAAATCCTGGAAACTTTTTCTAAGAAATGCAAGCTCAGGTGTATGACATTAGGGAAGACAAGAATAACCCCAAAATAATCCTACATATTTTTGTTATTCTTTTGGTGGTCTCATCTCCCAACTCTACCCTCTTGCCTTGA